AATATAATATCTAAGATAAACTAAGAATCACCGACACTTGCAAGAAGTCAATGAGTCCATGTCGGACAAGTATACTTCTCAAACACACTTTTTTCCATGTCAATAATTAATTAGCAATGTTCCGACACTTCATAAGTTGTGTCAATAACTAGAAAATAAAATGTGCTCATCACTTCTTGTACACTTGCTGCTACAGATTAACAGACTTTGAAATTTTGATGCATGACTATCTTATATCATAGAAAACATAAAATTGTTAAGATCAGTAATATTAAAGTTCTAATTAAAGTTTATTGAAACAGAATAAAGGTTTACTAAATAAGAAGGCTAGGGAAGATGAGAACAACTATTCTAACAATTTATGATTCATACACTTTGTCTAATAAAAATATGGGTGATTATTGGCCACCATAAAGAAAAGTGAAAGGATATTGTTCACATGTAAACTTTGATTAAATAAAGAAGAGCGAAAGGAGAAAGAGAAAATATTATCATTGTTAAACAAGTCTGTAATACTGTTTAACCTAGAATATACAATATAAGCCTTTATATAGTAGAGCAACAAAACAATGAAAAATGCCTAAACTGCCCAAAATATAAATACTCTAACATCCACTCTCAAACTCATGATGTGGTAACATCAAGAGTTTACTAAGAAGAAAACAGAAGCGCGCGATAGTATGATATTTCATAAAGAAACGATCAGCAAGTAGCCAACGCAACCAAACTATCTCTGCTGTTGTGAAGGCCATAACATGATACTCAGCTTCAGCAGATGATCGAGCCATAACAGTTTGTTTTTTATTTTTCCACGAAATAAGAGAATCACCAAGGAAGAGATAGAAACCAGTAGTGGACTTGTGATCTATAGAGTCATCAGCCCAATCCGCATCCGAGTAAGCAAGAAGTTCTAGAGACTTACAAGAAAAAAATAATAAACTCAACAAAAACTTCAAGTGTAGGCTCAACAAATTAAGGCCCAAATAGCAATGAGGGGTCCAACAAAAAACCAAAGCTCAACAAAAATCACTAGCACCAACACCCAACAAAACAAAACCCAACAAAGAAAAGAAGAAAAGTCAAACCAGCAGCCCAATAGAAAGAAGCCCAAATTAACAAACCCAAAGGATTGGAGTTACCCAACAAAACAAATTCCAACAAAAAAAAAAAGAAAAGTCAAACCAACAACCCAGCAGAGAGAAGCTCAAATCAGCACCGGCCCAAACTAACAAACCCAAAGAATTGGGGTTGCCCAACAAAAAACACCAGCAACAATACCCAACAAAACAAAGCCCAACAAAGGAGAGAAGAAAAGTCAAATCCGCAGCCCGAGAGAGAAAAGCTCAAATCAGCACCAGCCCAAATCAAATAGCTAAAAGCCCAGTAGTCCAAAATAAGTGTAAGCTCAAAATTCTATTCTCAAACTCAAAATAAGACCCAAAGAGAATACCAATGAAGCCAAGAGCAGAAACTAGAACCAAAAGAAGCAGCCAACGCCAAACAATACAAAATTTGCCACAAATCAATTCAACAGCTTTGCAAATCAAATACTCGTAACAAATTGAGATTTCTTACACAACAATACAACAAAAATAGCACTAAAAATCGAGTACGGCACTGTTCACAGCATGAACAGTAACTTTGGTACTGTTCACATAGTATGAACAGTATTTTCGGCACTGTTCACAGCTCATTGAACCATAAAAAGTCAGCAACCCACCAATCACTAGCCCTCAAATCACACAACCAAGCACCAAAAACCTTTAGTCGCACTACTTAGGTTTGATATGAATTAAAGAAGTCGAAGAAAATAGCAAAAAAAATCACCATAGATGATGTCAGCCCTAATCCAAAAATATATTCTTTCTCCAATTAAATTACTGTGGTGCTACAATATATTTTGGATCGAAACCATAATCTGATACCATGTAAACTTTAATCAAATAAAGAAGAGCGAAAGGATATTGTCCACATGTAAACTTTGATCAAATAAAGAAGAGCGAAAGGAGAAAAAGAAAATATTATCATTGCTAAACAAGTTTGTAATATTGTTTAACCTAGAATACACAATATAGGCCCTTATATAGTAGGGAAATAAAACAATGTAAAATGCCTAAACTACCTAGAATATAAATACTCTAACAGATTTATTAGTCTAAAAATTCATGTTAGAGTACGAGATATAAGATTTTTTTAAGGGAACACACAAAGGAAACAACTTGCAAATGGCTCAACATCCTTGTTGAATCACAGGAAATCAGAAAGCTCAATGAACCCAAATTCATCCACCACCCCTAAATGAGTGTCACCAATGAAGAATGCATGAAAACTAATCACACAACCTAACCATTCATCTCACACCGTTGTAGACCATACAATAGTTGTATTGATGAACGAGATATAAGATTTACTCATCCCAAAGTACTAATTTTTGTACATTGTATTATATGTAGATATTATTCTCTTCTTCACTCCTTTCCAGCAACCACTCTTATTTTCCTTTTCTCTTTTATTTCTTTCTCCTTTTNCTTTTTCTCTTTTATTTCTTTCTCTTTTTTCCATAGTTTATACCAATTCCATTTTCCATTTTTTTGTTCTCGATAAGAAGCAACACTTTTATTAATAATAAAAGGAGAGTGTTACAAATGTTGATCTCAAGTGGACAAATTGTCCAACCCAAAAATGGAAGCCATCCACAGGCAAAAAAAAACCACAACAACTAGGACAGTAACCACAAATATTACAATCCGCAAGAGGCTGTTCAGCTCGTAGTAATGCTAAAAAGATGAATAGTCTCAACTTCCTTAGTCACGGATGCCCAAAATGAAGCCAAGAAATACCGGTCTCATAATCCTTCAACATCATCCCTTCTATTTTCAAAGATTCTCACATTCTCTCTCTCCATAACACCCAAATGAAAGCAAAAAAAAAAAAACACAATGTCAGAGGATCTTCCCTCTTCCACTTCCTCCCAATCCTACTTTCTACTGAGTAGAAAGGTTACCAAGAAATTTAAAGGTTGTGGTGTCCTTATTTTACAAGGACTAAAAACTTCATACAATGAATGATCGGTCATTCCATTTGTGCTTTCAGCAAGTAGGCGACGCGAATCTATGCTTTCTTTTGGACCGCTAATAAAACCTAAATAACATGACCTAAAATATGATTCGTGTCTACCAATTGTCAAAGGGTTTCCAACAGCTAAACCTCAATGAAAGAGAATATTAGAATTCTAGCATTAATATTATCTCAAATCTCATGTCACATGTCACATGTCTCTGAGACCTGATGACACGCGTTCCAAAGCACTCCAAATGTAACATTGCAAAATTGCTTTTCATCTTGTTCAGATGAGCATCATTTCCTTGTATTCGAGAAAACTTGATCTAGAGTCAAAAAAAGCCTCAAGCATCAGTGGCACACGTTTTGAAATCACTATATGAAACCCTTTTTTGAGAAGCAATAACACTAACATAAAGCACATGTTTTCTATGCTATCTAGCTATGCCATAAAATAGAAAGTGGTTTTCATGTGCCGTGTTAACTATCTCACTGCACTGTTACCGTTTACTTAAGTAATTGTCCACTTGCCAAAGACCAAGTATCTTGAAAGTTAAAGTATAAGTTGTTTCTTATTATTTGGATACCCACAAGGGGTTGGATACCCATAAAGGCTCGGATCGCATTGTATTCACAAATTTGAATTATTATATCAAATTTTCAGCTCCAAACTTTCAAGGAGTTTAGATATTCTTTTAGGATTCTCGCATGTATAGATACAAATGCAAAAATCTCATATGGTGGCTAGCTACGAAGCACCGACATGTCATTTGCCCCCTCACATATCCATGTCCGAAACGTCTAGGACACAGACACGTCCAAACGCGCGTCAAATACGCAAATTTCAGTGTCCAAATTTATTTATTTTTTTATGAATATGGAACACATCGGACACATCCAAATACGTTTTCTCCTAATTTGACAGTAACTCACAAATTTTTCGTTGTTTCGCAGCGGTCAATGAAGACGGACGACAACGACAATGACGAGGCCGATAACAAAGACGAAACTTAAGCCACAGAGCACCAAAGATTTGTAGAGCNCGGACGACAACGACAATGACGAGGCCGATAACAAAGACGAAACTTAAGCCACAGAGCACCAAAGATTTGTAGAGCCAATCAGTGGCCATGTCTACAAAGAAGAGAGGGAGATGTTGTAGACATTTTTATAGATGGAGAGAAGTGTTGGAGGGGGATGAGAGAGAGAGGGAACAAACTTACAACAATTTTTTTTTTCTCTTCTAGATTGTTGTGCTGCATGCATACATAATTGGCGTCAAATTTGTCCATTTACTTGGNACAAACTTACAACAATTTTTTTTTTCTCTTCTAGATTGTTGTGCTGCATGCATACATAATTGGCGTCAAATTTGTCCATTTACTTGGGCTAAAAATATGTATAAGGCTAAATTTGTAAACAAAGGTCATATAAAAAAGTGTATTGTGTCAAATTTATGAACTAATGGGTCATATAAAAATTACATATATATATTTTAATTCAACGTATCCACATCCTACTTATTTGAGAAATAACTTGTCCCCGTGTCCCGTGGTGGGACCCACTAGAGCCATAGCAAAAGCAAGTCTTCATAGGATAATTGTCATTGCTTATAGACCCTAACCAGGATGATCTATCCATGATCCGTGTCCTTGCTTCTTAGGTGGCTAGTTTTCAGACATATTCACCATCCAACACACTTTGTAGCACTATCTAATACTATTTAGTTGATATAAGAGAAAATAAATTTGTATTCAAACTAAAATGCCTTGAATATGATAGGCTACTCCTCCAGGGGGCAGTGGTATATTCTCACAGTCAATCAGTTTACCTTAACACTTTCTAGTAAATTATATTGGCTATTTAATGCAATATCAACCTAGTTGGATTGATTCAGATTAATCTCTATTAACAACTGAGAGAGAAGTAAATAGCAGAGTCTACCTAAGGATTGCTGAATATACATCGCAACGGATACCTCCAGTACAGTACATCAATATATCCGTTCTCTCTTTGTCAACACCAGCTAAAGGATCTGAAGCAATGACCTGGATATATAGAAACAAAGAGAAAATAGAACACATCCATAGTTAAATAAGGAAACAGAATGCTTGCATAACACCACCCAAAATAATGATTCCCGTCGCATGCGCAAATTTTCTGGTCAAGAAAAAACGAGCAAAGAGACAAGGCATAGCAACCACAACATGTAGGTATTCCATCCAATCAATGCGTAAAATGCATCACATGAACCTTTTCCAGCAGAAATGACTGATATTTTGTTCATTATTTTTCTTTCCAAAAAAGGAAAAATGAAAACAACTAGATCGCATGCTATGCTACCCTTTCTTCATTCAACAAGTGCTTCCAAAGAAGTTGGAAAGAAGCCAGAAAAAGATCTATGCACTTTGATTCTTGCTTGAAACAACTTTGACTCATTCAATAATCCGCTCTCGACTTCGATGAAGCCTCCAAAAAAATCATCCATTTGTCAAAAATGAAATGAAACACATTCAATTTCAATCCACCCACCTAAAAAAAAACCTTACCCCTCACAATTGACAGACATACAATTCCAATCTACCCACCTAAACAAGAGACCTTACCCCTCACAAAACTCAATCGAGGCTTCAATATCTGCAATTTCACCATGGACGGCCCTTGCAGAAAACAATTTTAGATATTGCCATTCTTGGGAAAAAAAATTGTCTTATCAACTTGAAAAGGCTTCAATTGAGCTTGGCATATCAACATTTTTTGCAATAATCTCTGGATCAGGGAGGAGATCAGGTTGTCGAGCCTCCCTTTTCCATATTTCGCAAGGACTCTCAAAAAATGAGGATAAGTTCCAGAGACTATTATTTGATGCCTTGTAAATTGGACATACCTCTGATTTGGACAGTCCAAATGAAGTGCTTCGAAAGCATCCCACATCAGGCCGTTGAGCCCCACGAAAGTGGCCAACATCCCATTCATAACCTGGTTACAAGTAATTACAAATCACGGATTTCAGTATTTGAATAATGGCCTCAAATTCTCAAAACTAAGAGATAAAGTACATTCATATATTTTTGTCAACATATATAAGATGGATGACTATGATATTATGACAAAGCATTACAGGTAGAGGGTGAATGAGATAAGGCAAATTAGATGGGAAACAAAAGGACAGTAGCCCAAGTCCAAAATAGTATTAATTGATTTGTTGTCAGTAAAGAGAAACCGCCTTATTGGTCTCTCTTGTAACAGTTACAAGTTTGTTTGGTTCATAATCAGCCTGTATGACAATACATTTACCAGTATTGGTGCCTATCAAAATGGCTTGAATGACTATAAATCCTACTGTGGGGATGTGTAGCTATACAAAGGTACGTTGACATGTATGTAGTTATCCTTAATGTAATATTTTAATCATTATCCAGTTCATTTGTGTATTGAGATCTAGGAACTTTTGGGATTTATGCCATAGGGGCTGCTATGGAAAGGATAAGAACCGTTGAGAGCTGGATTAAACTAAATTTGGAGCACCATCAGAATTTTTTTTGCCTTCAAATATCATCAAAGTCGCATCCTCACGAGACTATATTTCCCTTTATTGTTTCTAGCAAATATCTTAAATATTTCAAAACAATGAAAAATTGACACTGCCACTTAAACGTTATACACAACCAAGAATTTGACCCCTGTTAGACTGCCTCTTAGCCTCAAAAGCTTAAGCTACTAAAGAGTGGGTCAAACAACGAGTTTCAAGCTCTCATCCCCACCCTCACATTTGACCTCCTCACACATGGAGAGGTAGACAAACAACAAAACGAAAACATAATATATATTCATTTTAGGGGACCAATACAAACAAAGAGGCCAGAATCAACGGCCTCCCAAAAACATAGCCCTCATGCTAACATATATTAATCTCACATATCTTGCAAATATTAAGATTTGTCATCAAATATAAAGTTGTCTGGTCATAAGTGGAGAAAGAAAATTTCTCAAAAGAAAGATTATGCTCAGATCCTGATTTTATTTCTGAATAAGTTTGTTTTGGTCATTCCATTTAAATTTCTCATGTTTATCTAGTTCTTTAATCAGAAATAAGGACCATTTTTCATAACATCATTTTTATAACTAGCTCAACTTCTTCTATTTTTTTCAATGTCCATGTCTCACCTAGGGTCATTAAAGGGTAATTACCAATATGGTCCCATAATTCAACAATGGTATGAAGGGTAGACTAGAGATACAACTCCAAACCTTCGCATATTTGGAAAATGTGACTGCCATTGGATTTGAATCCACAACCTCAGTCACACCCTCAAATATTTTAGCCCCAACAGCAGCAGGTAATGGTGAAAGTGGGTCTTTATCTGAAGTCGAACGCACGGCCTTTTAACAATTTTCACAAGGATGATATTAGACTTAATTTTAATTTTTTACTATTTTATTGCTATTCTTAAGTTATAAATATAGTACTAATAGCAGGTACTTCATGCAACTGTGATGCAGGCCAAGACCTGCAAATCTGAGGATAATCCCGGGATCCCAATCGACAATTTAAAATGGCCACACAAATCTGCAATTATGCTCCTGCTTGAAGCTGAAGCAAGTTACTCTTCTTGCAACTGTATAAGTGAAAAAGGTTATTGTCTTTTCTTACTTCAACTAGTTTTCGTTATTTGAGGAGTGAGAATAGATGGACAAAGGACTGCAACATGCTAGAGCCTATGAACGGGTTATGTTCATCTCTTTAGAGTTAGTGGTCATAAAATACGAATTTAGAAGTTGCAGCCTTGGTGCTTGTTCTAAAAGATTACTATTTACTTGTCGTTTCTGTCTGAATTCTCATTCTTACCTCTTTTACTTGGTCTTCTATATACCTTAAACCATCAAAACATACCCACAAACAAAGTAATCAATTACCAGGCAAATCAATAGAATTTATGGAAGATACTAACTTTATCAAGATCTAGATGCAGGCTTTTCGTTGTTCTTCTTCGATAATGGACTCTAGTTATTGGGTACCTTTAGAGAAGGTTCAAATTCAGATAAAAAGAGAAATAACTGCAATATTTTCAAATTCTGGAAAAGGTATATCACTCAATTATACTTACAACTAGAAGGGGGGAAATATTACTAGGAACATTTTGCAAGAGGGGGGTACCGTTTCTCACATCAAGTAGAACACTCTTTGTGGTGAGATCTGATGCATTGTCCAACTTATTTACTGATTCCAATCTATTCCTCCATTGAGATGGGGTGAGAGGTGTGGCTCGCATTGACGGGTCAAGCAAAGGAAGATGTGAAATCCCTCCTTCCAACTGGAGATGAAATTTTATAAGCGATAATTCTGTTAAAAAGTGAATTTCAAAAGAATATGCATTAATTTTAGAGAGAGAGTCAAGAAATGAAAACCTTTTCAACTATCCCTACTATCGATTATTAGGGACAAAAGCACACATGCCTAAAGAAGTTACCCTCTGTAGTTATTGGCACGATAAAGGAAAACAAGTCCAAGCTCTCCCACCCCCTTGAACAGTAGCCCTCATGGATGAAATAGTCCTAGAGGAAGCAAATAGGATAACTAAATTTTCTTTGAACATTCAATCATAGTTATCATCCGCTACACTTAAAATTCAATGAAAAATGCATTTTAGCCAATTCAGTCACTAGCTTTTATTTGGGGAAGAATTCAATCAATGTCACCAGGGGTGGAGATAAGGTGGGGCAGGTGCCCCACTGCAATTTTAAGAACTTTTAAGGGGATTGTTTAAATTTTTTAAAAAATTTAAATTCTTTGAGGAAACAGGATTCTTTCATAAATAAAAAATTTAGACTTAAACTTCCTTTATACGACTCAATCTCATGACTCTCTCTTCAGTTTAGAGTTCCCTGTGCAATGACACACCAAATTACAGACTAAATCCTCCTCCCCTCCTCTCTAACTCCTCAATCGACAATAACAACCAAGGTTTTAAGAGTGTAATTATCACTCATAATTAGGCATGTTAATAGATAAGAATTTGATTTGAATCCGATCTGATTCTAAGTTCGATTAGTCAGACATGGATTAAACCAATTACTCGAATCCAAATACGTTATATCATATTCCACATATTCTAGTTTAAAGAGACCAAAATTCGATTTGATTGTGATCTTATCTAATTTATATACATATAAATGGACTTGGATATGGATTGAAAAAAGAGTCCCACCTAATAATAAAATTAATTTAGACTGGAATTTTCAAATGGGATTCGGATTTGGTTTCAATCAAAACCTAATCTAATCCAACCATTGACGGACCTACTCCCCATCAATTTGTCTGTCATGACGAACTTTAATCATTGTTGTTTGTTTTTTCTCTTCAACAAATGGTAGCCCCATGGTGGAGAGACCTTGGCTCCATCCCTAAATGTCACTCACTCAATCATTGATCTAGTTTCAATGTTAAGGGTGATCTATTTCCATATAACCCTTGCTAAAGGGATGGTCAACTAGGCCTTGTGTTGATTTTGTTTCTGTTTTTTTCAATTATTCTCCAACATACAAATTCAGCAGCCTACAATTGTGAAAAGAGTATTTTATACATGAGCTTGCATGCAAATCATCCTAATCAAGTTCATCTCACAATGCAAGCCTTCGTAACATTTAAACAAATTGGCATTAGCAGCCAATTTTTAGTAACACAAATCACATGACAATATACTTACATCCACTCTTCCAACTTCCTTAGTTAGGCTTCAATCCATCCAACAAGTGTGTTTTCTAGGCTAACCCAACCACCTTGTGCTCTAAAAATGGTCAAACCACCACACAATCCTTTTTTTCTTTGCCATGACCCAAACTACAAGTTCCTTTATCTAGGACTTAACATAAGTTTTACCTAGGCTCACAAGATTTGTTGAAGGTTTTACCTAGGATAACTTACATCCATCTACAATAGACAATGCATAATAGATTTCACTAGCATTATCCTAAACCTCCTAACACCACTACTACACCTTAATAAAAGACATATAGACTCAAATTGAGTCAAGCCTACTCACAATCAAAGCTCACATAGACTTACAAGCTCTCCTTCAACCATGCATATCTGCTAGTATGCAGTGGTTAAATGGGTGGTAGCTTAATGTGTCAATAATGCACAAATTTTACCTCAATTGAAATAAGCCCAATGTTTTACTTGTTTCACAAATTGTTGAACAAGTGGGATTTCTAGATGGCAAGAAGATGATGTAAATTTACTTTAGGCCCTCTCAAATCACTATTGTATTCTTTCTATTATGTCTATATGATATTAGGATCTCAACCCATTTATATCCATTTGATATGAATGAAACTATATCCAGTGAGTTTTAATTTCTGGGCACCCTAAAAGAACAGCCAAGAAGCTAGTTGCTCCACTTGCATTTTTCCAATTTTGGAACTTAAATAGTCTACCCACAAAGACCAAGTATAATATGACCTTCCTATGATTCTAAGACTCATCCCTAAAGCTTGAAGCAGTGCTCATTGATGATGCTTCTTGTCAACCATGAAGTCTTCAAGCTTGAGATTGCATTTGCTCTTTGTTCTTCCCCTAGCTACAATACAAGTCAAGAAGTTATCAATCCTAAGGTCCTAGACCAAGCAGTGGAAACCAATAAACATGTAGCATACCTGTACCAGTGAGGGCTTATATCGTAGCTTCAATCTTGGAAATGCATGCCCCTTCGAAGCAACAGAAACTTGGAACAATATCCCAGAAAACCTATGGTCTTCTTTCAACCATTTAACATATGCAAAAGCATCTTTTGATGGCCCACTGTACTGCACAAAAAAAGCAGAGTGTCGGAAAGGATTCTAATAAGATGCTGCTCTAAGACATTCCTAAATATAAGAACACAGATAAATTACTATATGAACTGATGATTCAATAGTCTTATTTTTGTACAATCTTCTATGCACCTTGGAATAACAGCTTTTCTTTTCTTTTTATTATTTGCTAGACATCGGACCCAAAATCAGTTGGCTAAGGGTGAAGTGTCCCCTCAACTTGGGTGTACCTAAACTTCCAATGTGGAATACAAGCTCTCTCACATCTTCACATGCGACACGTTCTTGCATGTGGGCTAACAAACCAAACATATATAAACAAATAAATAGGTTGGAACTGAACTGAAACAGAACGACAAACAGATTGCAGAACAACCACTCAAGGCCTAGCTCTGATACCATGTTACTATGTTAGTGCATTCAACTCAAAACAAATTGGTTAAAGGTGAAATAGCCCCTCAAATATATAAACCAACCTTTGATGTCTCTAAACTTATGATGTGGGATGCAAGCTCACTTCACTATTATCATTATTTCCTTGATTCAAGGAAAGGAGGATCAGCTAGGCAATAGCAAATAGGAAAAAGATAAAGACCAAAGGGACTACTGAAGCTATGTATCAGACTATACTAACTAATTTATTTTGGAGTTCAACTACACATAAACACTTACACATGCATGTACACACACGTGCGCGCAAGTACAAACAAAATGTTTAATGAAACACGAATGTACTAAGACTTCTTATCTCATCTCGCCAAAAATACATGTATATACATAAGTGTGTGTGTATATATATACACATATAGATGTATATATATGCGGGCATTTGTGCACGTGAAAGGGGGAAAAATTCATACCTGCGCATTTATCCCCTGCTCATTCAGATATATTCTTCCGTGTATGTCACGATCCTAAAACCATCATAAAACACAAAAAACAGTTGTCAATTGACGTTGGTCATCCATGCTTTAATACATTATACAGATTTTGATAACATTTTTGTAAACTCCATGTGTACTAGGCATTTCCAGCATCAATATAGATTGCACAACAAAATATTTCATACCCTGCAACCAAAGAGTTCTTTTTGAATGTTGAGATCTCTGAAAACAACAACAATTGAATTAAAATTACATGCTTGCAGAAAATTTCAGTTTTTTACCAGAGTCTCATCATTTAGATTGCATCCATAACCATTTTCCTATTTGCAAAGCGTTGTTACTTTCTTTTTACATACAAAGAAGCAAAAGACAATTTACCCCCAAGAACACTAGATAGAGAGACGGGGAGAGAGAAAAGAACCAACAATGATTGGGAAGTATGTACATGGTAGAAAGTATTGTATGTAAAAGTACAAAGAAAATCTGTGATGGAACTCCAAGGGAAAAGGAACTCACCTACAATGTATTAGCCCTAGCTTAGCCAGAGTTTGGTCTTTCAAACTAAACTATACTTTCTGAGTTACATGAATAAAGCATGTCTTGTGAAGAAAGTCGCAGAGTATGGCTTTATGAGATAATGAATCAAGAGAGAAACTGACAAATTCAATAAGCTTTTGGGATGGTTTGATTCAGCTAAGAGTAGAAGAGTAGAAGATCTCATTTCCATAAACTTGAAAAAAAAAAAAAA